AATAATGTACAACACATTATGGAGTATGCTCTGAGGTCTTGCCTCCATGCACTTATGCAGTTAACCGCTAGACGGGTGTATTTATAAATAATATTATATTAGGGAAATATTCCCAAACATATTTAAAATCGTGATTCCCTTAAAATCTAACTCAAATGGAGGGGTTATGATGGGATGGTCCACTTCCACTTGTAGGCTGCAGAAGTTGGGATCTGCAAGCATATAGGAACATGAAGGACAACAGGATCTCCTGGAGAGGGCATCTGTTCTTGGTGGTTTTGGGCAAGCTGGTCGTTTGGCTGCCTTAGCCTGGTCAACCAGTGGAGGCTGCTATTGTCAGTCGAACAGTGAATTTATTACTTCTGGTAATGCTGTCAGCTCTCAGCTGGCTTTTCAGTAGTTGTTTTTCACTAGATGACGGCTGCTCCCCCAGGAGTTTAAGGACTCAAAGTGTCAGTTATGTACTCGTTCTGATAGCATCTCCTAAAAATAAACACTCCTAGTAGAAACTATCACAACTGCAAAATAAGACATTTTTTCGATGTTTGTGCAATTCGAGGTAAATTGTGAGTAATTTAAATACACTTACAAAGACATATGTGTGATGGCTCAGGGTTAGAACATGTCAGACGTGCATTTTGTAGTCTAACTACATCGTGGTTTCAACATGGTGGACACAATGTGTCCCAGTGCTCCACTCGTCGTCGTCTTCTTTGTGTTTATGAATTAAAATGTTGTTAAAATCAAAGAAACGAGGCGTTTTTATTTAGACTTTCACACATTATTCTTTCTGTTACTCACTACAGAACACAGGTAATGACTCAGAGTGGAGATAAAGTCACTTATTGCATCACAAAAGCAGAAAAAAGACGAGTTACAGCTAAAAGTTTCTGTTTTCTTCATCGACAGCACAGGTGACCTCCACTGAAATGATTGAATTCACAGCACAAAGAGCATTTCTGCCTCTGCTGATGAGTCAGTGTGGCTCACTCTTGTTATGAGGTTCAGGTAAAGACTAACCCGTGTAGATGAGGTGGAAGTGGTAATGGCAGTAGTGACTGTGGTGGCTGGGCTGCCAGTGAAGGTGCTGTAATCGGAGCCACCTGTGTAGTTTGACGCTTCGCTCATGGTACTCATAGGACGCTCCTTCTTGTCACTGCTGCTTCCCTGCTCCGACGAAGACTTGGGAGCCGATCTGCCACAAGGAAACACAGAGAGACACAGACGGGGGTTCAGACATTTCACTTTAGGAGAATGTACAATATAGTGTCGTGACCCCTACCCACACGTACTATATTTTCAATTCAATTTTATTTATACAGTGCCAAACGACAACAGTCGTCTCAAGGCGCTATGAAACCTGTGACCACTGTTGCAGGTACGGAGCCTTTGATGCTCTACCAGCATGCCGGCCTGGTTACAAAGTATCTGCTGACCAGGTCTCCTCCCACATCTGGGTACAGGAGAGGTCCCAGAAGAGGTATTAAGCCAGATTTTAGACATGCAAACCTACTTAAAGTAGGCCAAGTTATTGCAGAAGCAGCTATTTTAACAAGTTTGCTCCATTCCTAAATTTAATTTCAGCCCAGTTATCCTGACTTTTTTATTGTTAATCTCTAGTTTTGTTCCTTGGAGTGGAGAAAGTATCTTCTTTATCACAACTGTCGACGTCCCATTTCTCAAACAAAGCTAGTTTTTGGCAGGTAGATGAGAAGGAGACAAAACATTCAAAGGTATTTTTGTGCTTGTGAA